TTTCTAGGCCTGGAAATTGCTGTTCAATGACTTTTCCAGGTTTATCATGACCGTACGAACCCTAATGTGATGATCGGGTGCGGTTATCTAAATCAGACAAAAATATAGGTGCGGGTGGTTGGCGGGTGGATAATTTATTTGAAGCTGCGGATTCGGGTGACGTTTTAGCTCATCTGCGCATCACTAATATACACATACATACATATACATATAATTCTGCATATATTTTTTATATATAATGCTGTGAAATTCAACAATATACTCATGCAATTATGTAATTGCAACATAAAATACAGATTTCAGCATCTTTGCCAGTGATTCTGAGCAGCAAATTGTTTGCAAAAATATTGATTGCTTTCAAAAGGTTTCCCAAAAATGGTCTGCCAAATGTTGTATCAGCCAATGTTGATGTGTCAGGCTACTCATGCTCTGAAAGCACTACACTGTTTACACTTTTCAGGAAATCAGCCTACCAAAGTCATTGAAAAAAGAACCTCTAAACCTAACACAATGCCTATGATGATGTTACAGGTGAGGGGGGTATGCTTCATGGGGCATTTAAACATGCTCTTTCTTTTCTGGGCAAGGTCAGCTCTCTGTAATGTGTTCACCTCCACGCCTTACTCATTACCCTCAATAGCAGTTGATGGATCTGCTGAAGTAGAAAAAACGGGGGGAGCAAGAGAGAAGCATCACTAACATTTATCTCCACTTGCTCCCACCCCAGCTTAAATCAACCCATCAGCCTGTCCCAGAACACTTAGTGCTGAGGCACATATCACCGGTTCCTGCCGTACCTTAGCTTCCTCTGTAAGCAGCCTAATCTGTCCAGCAGGACTGTATTGAATGTTGTATCAAGATCCCCAGGACATATATCACAGCGTGCACAAACACACTTTGGAGTGGGCATATACAATATTTAGACATTTCACCTTGATGGCATTCTTGAACACCACTACACACTCACAGACACATACACACATGCACACACACTTTCCAAGGTACTCAGTAAATTATTCAAGTGGCACAGCATTTGATTCAGCAGACCTCCCGTGCACTGAACCGAACCCTGAGCACCACGTAGAAATATATATATATATATACACAAACCACCCCCACCCCCTCGCTTTTTTAGACATTTCATTATGTTATATGACTTTAAGCCCAGTGGCTGGAAAATGACAATTATTTTGCTCCAGCAGCTTGCTATTAAGAGACTCGCAGAATACGTCGAGTGGCGTGTGAAGGAGCCGCAATGGTGCCCACAGTGAGAATTGCACACAGAAACACACACGGGTCTCTATCTGTCACACACACATACATACACACAAACGCAGAGCAACGCAACAAGCGTGCTGGACTATGGCCGGGGCATGTGACGAATGGCCCTTTGGAGGGAGTTCAGAAAAATATCAGTCAGAGCAAACTAATGCCTTTTAAATGCACCCAGCTACCTTTTGCAGGCCAGCTTGGTGAATTAAAGGAATATCTAATGACAGTTTGTTTGGCCCTCTCATAAATTCCACATAAATATATATGAGGAAGAGAGAAACATACAACAGGCTAATAGAAATGAATGAACTAGTCAACCATAAATTTGCTATGCGAGATATGCTTTTTCTGATTGGAAAGGGCATCCGCTATCTGCAATATTGATAATACTTTTCAAATTTCATCTGCTTTTGTTTGCATTCTGGGCTGTCTGTTTAAACACACTGGGAATTATAATGAAGCCAAACATTATCTCTCAGTTGTTCAAGGCTGAACATATAACTTTATCGTAGAAATGATTCCCAGTCTTTGGCTGGGCTGTATCTTTTCCATTAAAGCCTGGCTATCAGCCGGTGACAGTGAAGCAGCCAGTCGGCACTGGTTTGTCCACATGTGCCGGCCAAGTGGCGTGAAGGTTCCCGCTTTTGTTTCACTCAGCTATTTCATGCATGCCTATGTGTGTTAGTGTGTGAAAGAGGGACCAAGAGCAAAAGCAAAAAATAAATAAAAAAAATGGTTAGTGGGGTCTTTTATTAACTTTGGAGGGTGTATGCACATTTTGATTTTCAGAGTATGGAACTGAACAGGAGGGAAGCAGTGGTGTAGTTATGGACCACAAATACCATCAATCTTTGGTAAATGATGCACTATGCCAGCAGGGTCAGAGCCTCAGTGTGCATACAGCACAAGAAGACCACTAGGTCACTCAAGGGGTTCTGGTGCACGCTAGCACACTGTTTAACTTTTAGGAAAATTGTAAGATCTTAGGCTGGAACAACAATGTATAGTATATACAATGTATAGTAGGAGGCAAAATTTTTATTTACTTTGTATCTTTTTTGATAGTATGCATGCTACTGTTTGTAATTTTCTTTTTTTTTTTTTATTACTGACGGTGTCAACTCACTTTAAAAAACTGCTTTAAAAGAACAAAATAAGGGGTTGGGGGTCATTGACAGGGGGTCCAAAGCAAAACTTTGTCAAGAGCCCCTGTCAGTACATTCATTAAAAAAAAAATCACATAAATGACAGAGACAGCAGCAGGTTTATTAGGCTGCTGTCACTTTAAGACCAAAGGCACAGGTATAATGTACTATGTATGTTCACTTAATACATAGGATGCGTTTAAGTAAAAACTCTCCAAGACTGACACTGCGCAACTTGCATACTTTGCGTACAGGGAGGACGATTTACATCCTGGATGAGTCTGCACAAAGTTATAGCTGGTCTTCATAAGAAAAAAAAAGTCATAAAGTTATGTGATAAATGATTGAATAGTGACCAAGTCGGTAAGTGTATGATGCCTGGCATTTCAAATCTTTTCAGATTTTATATGTTGTGTGGTGTATTCTTCTGGTTTCATCGTCCGTAAGTCAATGGGTTTTTTGAAGAGGTTTATGGTTAAATGACTGGCATAAAGTCCTTTAGCAGGCCAGCACATCAACGCATCAGTAATCGCCCACTCATAACTTTTTCTTTTCTTTCAAGCTTTTACATGCCTTGAAATAGGTAGTTGCTAAAAAACTGGATTGATGAGGTCGTCTGAGACCTAGCCTAGTTGTGTTTATAATCTTGCAAACTATTCAAACTCAAGCTTTTTAAATAAAGACCGAAAGGGTTGTTGAATTCTTAGCAGTCATAAATCTGAAGGCATGCAACTCTAGTGTAGTTTATAGCCTGACATTCACTTTTTGCTTGCAATGATTGTATTTAGGCTTCAAAATTCATAGATTATCTTGATAAAGAAAAACTTTTGTTGGTTACAGAGCTATTTTCAACTAGAATCCAAACGCCAATGGAAAACTTGTGTTGGCTTTTCGTCAAGGGAACCCTACAGCACTAAATACATTCTTAATTTAATCTCACATATTGATGTATTATATATAAATATGTACAGTACATAACTATATATATAATTATTTTTTATATAAAAAGGTTTTACTCAAAGATGGCTTAAAAATACACACACCCAAAAACTAGTGCTACAGCTCATAATTAGTATGACTCCTGATGATTTTTCCTCTGCATTACATTAGTAAAACTAGCAGTCCACTCATCCCTAACAGCAAACTAATTTCATCACACATGAATGCATTCACACACTCCAAGCTCTTTCCTACTGTTCTGTCACTATGAAGTGCAGACAGAGACCTTTCAGCTCGCTCTTCATCCTCCTAGAGAGAAATGAGTGGTTTCGCCTTCACTTCAAACATATCAAAGGCAGAGCTTTCCTACAGACATACAGCTGTTCTGGCAGTTGAGAAAGAGAGAAAAAGAAAGGAAATGCCCACCATGGACACAGACACATCACCGTGGGCCTGTTAGATCAGTCTCCGCCACAAGCCCCCTGGAGATTGGGTTATCGGCCACTGTCAGAGTCTAAGTGGATGCTGCGCAGCCCTGGGCGGTAGAAGACTCTCAGCCTGTATGTGCAGCTTTTAAGAGAGCATGAGAACTCTCCGTGCCTCGGCTGCTGGGCGAGTTGGGACGGCAGGCTTATAGCGAGGAGAAATCACAGTGCCAATATTGTGCCGAATGGCACGTTATGCATAACCACAATGCCAGTAGTATTATGAGGGCTCTTCACAGCATGAGAGTGGCATCGGCACCCAGCTTCCTCTTGTACGATGATATTTATTCAGGTAACTGATTCGGAAGGTGACCTTCCCCAGCTGTACGCAGTAAATGCATCCCAAATAATCACCTGAAAGTGACTCAATATTAAGAAAGTTAGAAAAAATACCCAGATGGGAGGGTCTTAAGCAACTCTATCCACCGAACTGATTCATTACAGCATTTAATGCATGTAAAACCCTTTATGAAAGCAAACAGAAAGTAAGTGATTACATTAGGCCGTTGACATGCTGCAGTCACACACCAAGTAAATGGCACAAACAAAACAAGTGTGATTGCAAAGGCTCTGTAGACTTTAGCCCTTCCTCACAATGTTCCAAAATGTACCGATAGGCTGATATTCCAGACATTCGGAAGCAGGCTTTGTTGAGGTTAAGGGTAAACACACGTGGCTCAAACTTTGGATATGTTTCAGTGCCGTCTTTTGATTCCAGCATCTTTATCCCAATCCTGGCAAACAGGAAGGAGTCTGTGTCCAGAAGAAGACAGCCAGGACTCTTTCTGTTTACCCATGACTCTCACAAGAGTCCTTCTGCTACCATCATCATCTCAAACAGCTGGGGCTTCATATAATACACCATAATACTAGCCTGTGTGTGTGCGTCTGTGCTCACGCATATTCAAAGTAGATTTGAAGAGTAAATTGCTTAATGATTTCTGGGAAAACTATAAATTGGGGTACCAAATAAGCACCATTACTACAATTTGATTACCAAGCAATTGAATTAGAGGGTAATCACCATTTCTATATATCATTATATTGAAACGCAATACAGGATTAGTTTATGCTGTTGGCTATGGGGAGAAGATATGAACATCTAAATAAAAGATGGAAGTGTAAATCTACAGCTTTTAGCCACAAATCTTGTTTTTCCTGAAAACTGTCACACGGGGAGAGAAGTTGAAAAGCTCAGTGTGAGGGCACTAGACTATTGAAACAATGCTTCATCAAACAAACACTTAATCTCTGTGATTGGTGCTTGCACCTGTGCAAGTGTCATCTAGGTTCCCCATCATGCAGAAGAGCATATTTGTAGATCCTAGGCTAGCTCATATACAGCACCCTGTCGGGGGGGCAATATATATATACATATATTAACAATATGTATAATCCACATATTAAAGGAACAAAATGTGGCAACATTTTTTTTATATATTTATAAAAATACTTCTGAGAAAACATATGTATCTTCAACTATACATTCTCTTTTGCACAATCAGACATTAAATGATTAGTCAGTTGTGTTTGATTCACTAAAAAGTAACGACTCATAAGAATCATTCGGATAAGAACTGCATTACAGTGGGAGCTCGGTATGTTTCTGATTCACTAAAAAGAACCGACTGATAAGATTAATTTGTTCGATAATCAGATTACACTGGTTGTGCTGTATGCTTTTGATTCATAAAAAATAAGGCACATCTACTGTACCCTTTAACATCAGTCTAAAACCTTTGCACCTCATCTAGCCCTAAAGGGTTCATATTAGTAGGTGTGGATAGACAAAACAAAATATATACATTATAAGGGTATTCTTAAGGCATTATAATGAATGCATTATGCATTATAAAAAGACCTTACAATATGTTATATCATCTTATAAATAATCATAACAACAATTATAATACATTATAATGCTTACGCATTTGTGTTTATACGTTTTAAGATTATGATTATTTATAACACACAATGAACACCATATAAAATATATTTTTACATTTATAATGGACTATATATCTTGACATTGTTTATTTAAGATCTACACAGTATACTACATCTTGTAAGTGGTTAGGTGTGGAGTGTTATTTGAGTGTTCCCTGTGAGGCTAATATTAATTTTGATGTGAGCTAGTTAATAATTTAATCTGAAAAAAATGCAATGTTTATATGTTAGGTTACATTTTATTTTCATGGTCCCCCTAGTCTATAAGCAACTACATGTCAACTAACTCTCATTAGAGTATTAGTAGGCTTAGGTTAAGGTTAGGGTTGGTAGAATGTTGACACATTCATCTGATATCTGATCTTATGGCTGTTTAAGAAAAAAAAAATATTATTATTATTATTACTACTACTATACTTATAAGTGGTCTTTGATGGCTTTAAGTAAAGTAGCATAAGAAAGATGGCAAGATACGAGACTTAATACATTATAACTATGATAAATATAATCCATTGTAACTTAAGTGGATGCAACATGTTCACTGTGTGTTATAAATCACCATACTCTTAAAAGCTATAACCACAAATAAGTAAACATTATAAAACATTAAAACTGCTCTTATTAATATTCATAAGATGATATAACATATTATAAGGTTTTTTATAATGTATTATGCATTCATTATAATGCCTTAAGAACACCCTTACAATGTTCTTTCAAATTCATAGAAAGTGTTACCGAAATAATAATACATAAATAAAACTTAATGCTGACTTATTATTTTTTTTATTATTATTATTATTATTATTAGTTAGTATTAGTTTTAATATTATTTATTTTACATTATTATTAGTAGTAGTAGTAGTATTGTTGTTGTAATAATAATAATAACAATGTAAAAATGCAAATTATGTAAAATACTATGAAGTTAACATGGAATGTTTTTGGGGTTTTGATGAAGATATACTTTCATGCTATGAGGGAAGATAAAAAAGGTTAGGAAACAACGTAACAGCTGTTATACCCCTAAAGTGTAGATGCAATGGTGAAGATTGTAATTGAAAGTGTGGAAACATGTAATATCTACAAGCAGCTACCCACCAGTCAGCATTACAAGATAACTGCATTAATGGAGCCTAAAAGGACAAAAAGCAACACGACTATTAGGTTTAAGGATTTTTTTGTCGCAAAGGACTATTAATCTCAGATACATCATGATATTACTTCTTCATACATGTTCCCACTCACCACCCATACTGTATTTGCTCACGCAAGAGTGACTTTGCTTTCCTTTTTCTGCAATGGCCCATGGGATATGTCAGCTATCACAGAGATTGTGACGTCCTTGACAATCGTCCAGATGTTTTGTGCAGTGATGATGAAGGATGAAGACTGGAGTCCCTCATGCTGATGGGCATCAGGCAGGCCTCTGAAGAGTCTGCGCTGTCAAGTGGTAGCTGAATGAAGAGGTGAGTGCTAGGGGCACGGGGCTCCATTAATGCAAGAGTCCTGCTCAAGACCAGCTCATCAACCCAAAGCTGTCCATATTTTAATACATTTAACATATACATTAACATATTTCACAACAATACTTCAAATAAATATGCATGTTAATAAAGAGATACAAATGTAATACCTAGACAAACTACCCTGAGTGAACCAGTGCTCTTGAAACGCCCTGAATCCCGCCAGCACCGAATGTGCTGGTTTACTTAAGCACACAGGACCAATCAAGCCACTGATTACTCAAATGGGCTAATTAAGGCTCATTAGACTCTAAGTCCTTACACCTGCATGCAGTACACTCTGCATACGGACAGGGCCACAGCACACGGCTCTGCTAGCTGTCAACACTGGCCCCAACAACTGTCCCAGTCATCGGTCCGCTTTTGTTCCCCGCCCTTCACACTCTCTCATAAGGATCTCTCCAATTATGTGAGCAGACTGGGGACGTTGTGGAGTGGCCCAGTGAAACAGAATGTGCCATGCTAAACAGGCTTTATTAGAGACACAGATTTCTGATGCTAACAGCACCATTGGAGACAAAGCTAAAGAATAGGGAAATGGAAATTGTGAAGAATTTAAGATCATGCATTCAAGTCTTACACATAACACAGCAGTAGTCTAAACAAAAAAAGAATTATACTGTGAACAATGCACCTAAATAACTACATCTGAATTCAAAATGATGAAAAAGTACTAGTTTCTATCACATTTATACATGGTATCATAACTAAACATTCGATTACATGTATTAAATATTTTTCTTAAAGATATACATGCATGGGTGTGTATTTATGTGTATATATCATAGATCAGTGTTTCTGCCCTTTTTCCAACTGACACGCCCCTTATGACATTACAACTCTGTATCTGTGAATGTGTACAGTACATGTGAATGTACTGTATCATCTAGAATTCAGAGTTTCCCCACTAACAAATAGGACTTCACTCGATCATTCACATGCTTGGAACTCGTAATTATGATATTTCCGACTTCATCTGAGAGGCACAACAGTGGGTTGTGTCTCATTTTGAAGGCAGCACCCCCAGTAGGGTCGCATATGCCATTGGAGATGTCTGTTTTCAAAGAAATGACAATTTCTCACAAGGAATAAGTCAGCTTTGTAATGGTTAGTTTTCTGAAATGAGACATCCTCAATGACATATGTGGCTGACAAATGCAACCTCCAGAGGGTGCATGCTTTGAAATGAGACACAGCTAATACTCTGATTAATTAGTTGTTTGATTTACCAAAATAACTAACAGTAACACTTTATTTTGAGGACCAGTTCTCACTATTAACTAGTTGCTTATTAGCATGCATATTACTAGCATTTTGGCTGCTTATTAGTACTTATAAAGCACATATTAATGCCTTATTCAGCATGAAATCCCTTAATCTGACCCCATACCTAAACTTAACAACTACCTTACTAACTAAGCAGCAAATCAGAAGATTGTTGAGGGAAAACTCTCAGTTAAAAATAAAAATGTGTTCCCTATTCTGAAGTGTTACCGAACTAACTTATAAGAGTCATTTGGTTGGGAATCGGACTACAGTGGAAATGCAGTATGCTTTTTATCCACTGAAGACAACCAGCTCAATAGGATCTTTTTCACGCAGTATATTCAGTAGTGGTGAATAGTAGTGCATGACAGTTTTAGTGTAGTGTTCCATCCACATCAGAGAACGAATATACAGTATATCCAAAATATATACTTTCTTTATTATTAATTGTTGCCGTTAACAGTTTCTTGCATGTCCATTCTTCTGTGTTCTTGGTTCTGTACTTAAGAACATGTCTGACCTGTCACACTGATTTATATAATGCTTTGCCTGACTAAGTCATGTTGTACATCATGACTTCAAGAACCTTGTTCATGTTTAATGTTTCATGCAACAGACGTGTAGGCCAACTGAAGAAATCTTTCATTAAATGTCAAAGGACTTTTAATGAATGTCTGCTAAAGTTTGACCTTACAACAGTAGTTCAGCCTGTAACGTGAACAAGAAGCGCACACAGTTCAATTAGGTCCATTTTTAAATCCGTATGGCTCCTAATACAAAAACTTTATAACAGAGCTTCAGTGGCCTCTTGTCCCTGGAAAACGCGGTCCATTCCAACCTGTGTCCACTGGCATGCAGACAAACACGGGCTCGATTTTCGAAAAATATTTTTTCAACAGTGCAAAAACAAATAAAATATGATATCTAAACCTTCTGCAATAAGGATAAACCTCGGAAAAATGTTTATGAAAAATAATCACCAGGACAACACACGCATGTGGTGTTTACACTGACGCCAGTGTCGCAGCTATCCCACATCTCCGACAAACACTGGGGAGGGGGCAGGCGGCAAAACAGGAAATATCTTTTGCATATTATTTTAAGTAACTGTTCAAATTCCATTTCAGAATGGTAATCCACAAAACAAATATGTAGAGGCATATTTTAAAAAGGGAGGCTCTGCTTCAATTTCCTATTGTGGTGCAGAATGTGTGTTTACTCTTTGTGTCTGTTTGAATTGATTTGCACAGCTCGGCAGACAGCGGCTGAATGCTGCGACCAAGAATCCATCATCTCATGTGATCTGATAGTTCTGCAGTATTAGATTGATTTTCCTCTCTCCTCTCATCTTTCCCTGTCTCTCGCTCTCTTTGTCTGCTTTCCTACCATTGGCGACGTTAACAAACATGCCAAGTTACCTGTCTCCCCATCTGTTAAGATAGAAACACAGTCCCTTCTGTCACGAACAACAGATTAAGGTGTGAGAATAAAGGGTGAATTGTTCACGGTTGTGGGTTATTCCTTGACACCAACCTTTTAAAAAAAGTGCGCTCCAACTGGCAAAACCTTTTTGCTTTTGTTTGAAATATCCATTTGATGTATTCATATTCCTGCAGGATTTAGCCTTGAACTGCTAAGAGAATAGAGGCAAGAGGAGGCTTAACTTTCCAAAACCATCTTAAGACTCTCGTCAACTCTTCAGAGCCATCGTGTGATCTCCATCTCTCTTTCCCGCTCGAGCGAAGTTTAAAAACACCTGTCACGGATTCAAAGCAGGGACTCAGCAGTAGCCGGGCAGGCGATCACCTCTCCGGCAATGCTATAGGGAGAGGAATTGGAACAGAGGAGATTTTTAAAAGCTCAAAGATCCTCTCATCGCTCTTCTTTAACCGTCAGCGAAGGCAGCAGAGACTGCGCGCAGGTATAAGCCCCACTCTGGCGTACCTGAGACTTCTATTTTAAGCCCTCCCTTCCGTACGGCATGTCAGACGAGCCCGAAATCCCTGCTAATACTAGTTACCTCTGAAACATAGATCTTACTGTTTGGCTTTTAGCTTTGACAAGTTATTTCCTACTCCCTTTGAAATAAAAAAGTGGAGTGTTCTGACACCGACTTTACGCTTTTGAGCTCATTAAAACCGGGATCTGCCTCAATGCTACCTGGATTTTTTTTACAGCCACGATAAGCCAAATTAATATGAACTCGTCAGGGCCACTTAAAATGCTTCTTGTTATCCAAAGCCCAGAGCTCCTGCAACTTATCACACAGCCACTGATATCCTTTAAACTAGCAAGGTGCAGTGCTTTAATTAAAACTAGTAACATTCCCTTGGAAGAGGAGGAAAGGAAATGTAGAGGGGTGGACTTCATAATTTATCACAGGCTGGAGTTAAAAGGAAGCGATTTCGCAAACTAAAGCAACGGCTAATACCTCTTAAACTGACACACGGCGAGCTTCCCTGTTCAAACGGGCCGGCGAAGAAACAAAGTCCCCGAGGATGTACATCATACGCTAAGCTGTGAAATACTACGTGAAGCATGTTCTCCGGCGCAACCCTTAAAACTGGCACCAAATGAAAATGGATGTGTGCTCTTCCTTTGTGCTACCGAGCCGAGAGATATATCTTTATAATATCCACCATATTTTACTGATAATAAAAAGCAAAGCGCCACATTGCCACCGGAACACTTAGCTAACGTAGAGGGGAGAGGCGGCCATAGCAAACAATGTAAATCAATCTGAGTAATATTGCTTTAAACTTAATGCAATATACTCACTGCAAGTATAGCCGTCCTAATGTGCATTTACATACTGGAGACACAGGCGTATATGGCGTATGAGTACATATCCCTAGACGTACAGACATCCATAAACACACACACAGGCACAGGAACACACACTCGTACACACTAGAAGTCTATTGAGTATTTTTTTTCTTTGCCAAGGCGCTCTGAGGATAATACGATTCTTTTTCTCTCCCTCTCTCTTTCTCTCCCTCTCTCTACTTTCTTTACAATACATCATTCAGTTCTGCCTTATGCCTGCATGAAATTCATTTTCTAATGGAAATATTTGTTTTGTAAATCAAATATGTATTATGCACAGAATGCAAAGCACAAATTAAATTATGTTAATGAAATGAAAGAGATATGAAATGCATATTTCATGGACAAAACATAACCCCAGCGAACAGCCATTTCTTGATAAAAATCTTTAAACACAATCTCATTCAGAGAAAGACATATTGCTAAGGCAGATAGCACCTCATTAAAATGGTCTCCTTTAATATCAGTGCTTAGTATATATAGGATTGTAAATAACCACTGGGGACGAGGAACCAATAATGAAATACTGTCTTTAATAGCTTGCCATTGATGTCAGCATAAAAAAGTGCGTAGAGGAATATTGGAAATTGGGCGCACACACACATAGAGTCAAAAGCTGTAAATGATTGCATATTCAAATAGAGCTGACTAAGGCAAAGATGATATAGATATAAGTAATAGGCAGACTATTATGCTGACCTCACATAATTTAACAAAAAAAAAACACTGTTTTAAATTGTATATTGGTTACACTTAATGAATAATAGATTCCTCGGCTGTTGTTGTGCACTGCCTGATCTTAATAATAATAATAATAATAATAATATAAAAAAACACCTAAAAGAAAAGAAATGGAGCTGCTCTGCCTAGCTGACTCACAAATGAACTAAACTGGCTTTTCAGCAGAAATAAACATGGCAATACGTACAAAAGCTGGAGCGAGAGAGAGATGCCCACTGATTTGATTTGATGGTGGTGAGAGTAGAGAGGGTGGGGTGCTTGACCTGGCTTATTCTGCTTAATGCTAAATATCTTAATTGCCCCACAGTACGCAATTACCAGCTGCTCCAAACAAAGCATGGATTTAAACCCAA